TTGATTATTTTTATAGTAATGCGCGTGACGTTCACATTCAAATGAGCAGGAAAGATGCACTCAAGATTACGTCAAGCCAGACAGCTGCAAATATACCCAATAGGTTGACTGAAGACATTAACAAATGGGGGCTGACCAGAAAACACCCTGTAGTAATTACAGACGACGCTGCAAATATGGTTTGTACAGTGGAGATAATGCAGCTCATGCATGTCTGCTGTGTCCTCGCTGTGTCATGTCTGCTTGTTCGAGTGAGGCTTTTTCACTCAGGAAAAACTTTGAAAAATAATTTTTTTATCTTTGACAGAAGCCGCATAGGGGACACAGCATGCATGTGGAAGATGGTGGTCTCTCAAAATAGAATCTTATCTGATAGAGGATGTGCAGGTAGGTGTAGATTAGGGTGATTCCATGGAGGATTTCCTGCCTCTAAGAGTCGGAGCTCAATCAACAAAAAATGTGCAAGAAAAGTTTTTAAAAAAAAACTGTCAGGGAGTTATATTATATAGTTTGATTACGGTAATGACAATGAAAAAATTCCAACTGATTCTTGAGATAGGGATATATGTAATATTAAATATGCACATTTTTGATTTACCAGAAATGGAAAATATATTTTTATTATTATCTTTTAAGATATATTTTATCCTATCAAAAAAAGAAATATTGCTTCAATCTATCATGGGTATGAATACTTATGGACTTAACCTCAGGGTAATCCTTGCAGAAGAAACAAAAGTTGGAAGATGCAAACAACCTTTTCACCTCCTCCAAAGATCCTACAAGAGCTCCATATGTCGCTATGTGTTAGATTGGCCTAGTATTCCAGGACTTTTAAAATCCAAAGAGCCATTTTGCCCTGAGTCCAGCTAAATTAAAACTGTTTAGAGCCTCAAATATTACATCACCTTTTAATTAAACACAACTTATTTTGTTAAAATCACCTTGCTGTAATAAATCATTTTAAACAGCCAACATTTCTGTTTCTTCTTTTAAAATAAAAAAAGACGTTTCATTAAAGAGCACGTGGATTTTCTTCTATAAGATATTATTTTATGTGTGAAAAACGTTAAAAATAAAGAACAAAAAAAAGATCATGACCAGAAACATAGACCTTAAACATCTTTGGGGTAATTTTAATGTCATTCTATTATAAAATGTAATTCGGATTTTGCTTAAGAAACCCGTTAAAGCTTCTTAGAGTGATATCTGTTATTACACTACATCCAAAACCGTTAATTTACTTATCTATAATTTTTAGCCACTATTAAAACCATGGCAGAAGGAGCCGCTTGTGGTTCCAGAGCAGCAGGTTGCAGACCCTCGCTCTAGTCAAAGCTCAGGACTTCAGTAAAATCGAGGATCTATGCCCAGTATGGGCGGTTCTAGACTGAGCCCACTGGGGCAATGAACCTAACAGTCATGTTTTTGGACTGTGGGAGGAAGCCACGCATGCTCAGGGAGAACATGCAAACTTCATGCAGAAAGACCCAGGAATCAAACCCGGAACCTTCTTGCTGCAAGGCAGCAGTGCTAACCACTGCACCAATGAGTAGCCCGCCCTGTTTTTTATATCATGCTTTTCTGTTCCCCCGTGAAAACACGTTGCCCCCCTCCTGGCCCCCTGATTCATTGTTTCTAGAACCACCACTGTTATCCAGACTTGCAGGTTGATGTTAAAAGACTCCATCCTCACTGATCTTAGGCTGTTTTGGAAAAACAATAGCCTCCTGAAAAAATGCAAAGCAGGAGATTTGCAGATAAAGCTGCAGTTGACTGAATAAATTAAGAAATAAAACATACCGGTATTTAAGTTTAAGTTGTGACCAAATGTTAGAAAGTTCTTAGAGTTCTGCATCATCTGGCAATGATTGGAAATAGATTATATTCCCAGAAATGATTCCCGCCCCAGTTTACCCAAGAACCTATTTCATTGAAAGCCCTGCAGGGATCGGTGCAGGGATAAAGAAACATTAAAGCTTCCCGGTAGAAGGCCCCATCTTGTTTTGTAGTCTCAGTCTGTGTTTGTGTGTGTTGGTATTCCAGAGAAGACGCAACCATCGCTTTACTGGCACGTTTGGTGACTCATGTGTGAGTCATAACATGTGGGTAGGAAAGAGCTATGCGATCCCTCCTCCTTGTTTTCTTTTTTTTCCTTCCTTTCTTTTCCCCCTCGCTCCCAGCTCCACAACCAGTATCCAGGCAGATAACAAGTCATGTGATGGGTCGTGTCTTTCCTCTGAATTGTGGGCAGTGAGCTTTTACTTACGGGAAAACAGCACTGCATCCCTGTAGGGTGGCTATAGGAAGGGCAGAAAAACAGCCCAGGACGCAGCAGTTCATTTCCAGCATGTCCAGATAGGAAATACTGGAAGGATTTATTCTTTTATGTTTACTTTACACTGCAATTTCTTTTTATTTATTTATATTTTATTGGGTTTTTTTCCAGGGAAGGGGGAAGAGGGGAACAACACACATTAAGAACAGAACTATGCACATACAGGGAGTTTGTCACATACATATTCATACATTATAAAGTCATAGTAATTAAGTCTGGATGTTAGACCATTTTGGCTGGAGGAAAGAAATACCATTTCAACCAGAGTTCCATTTTTCTGGGTTAACATAAGCTGTTATCTTATATATTTCCACCACAATGTCTCTGCATGTACCAACAGAGGCGTAGCCAGAAAATCCTAATAGGGGCGGCCAGTCATTAACCAATGTACATTGAGGGGTGGCCTAAAGGCACCAGAACCTCAGGGTCAATCTACACTGTTCCAACAGGAACATGCACAACAGCCATATTTTCTAAATAAAAACTAACTATACTTTCCTGCAGCCTTTGCTAACAAATAAACGCATATATTTAATCATCCATGGTGTCTAAATAAAAGGGAAGTTCTTTCAGGTTTGAGTTCTGGGGCAAACATATTTTACATTGTCCTTACCTACTTTTATGAATAATTATTCTGCAAAAAATATATATTTAAATGTACTAATATCCATATTAAATTAATTTTTAAGTTATTAAAGTAGTTATTTATCCATGATTTCACTGAAGACTCCTAGATGACTTACAGAGACACATAATTTTCTCTTTAACCCAAATAACACGAAATTTAGTTCTGAAAAGAGCATGAATTCTGTATTTATCATATTTAATGTTAGTATATTGATGTTGATATTGATATATTGATAGTAATTGTTAAAATATGAAAAATTTAAATGTTTAATAAGTTTAAACATTCCCCTTGAGAGTATTACTGCTGCCACCATCTGTATTAGAGGGGAAAAAATGGTAGGGGTGGCCAATGATTGGCTAAGGGTGGCCATGGCCACCCCTGGCTCCCCATCTAGCTCCACCCCTGTGTACCAAGTGTTGGGCTTTCTGGTTGTAGACATTTCCTCGTGATAAGTGTTTTACTGGCCACCAAAACGATGTTCATTATGTATTTGTCCACTTTCAGGAACACCTCCCAGATACAAAGTCTTAAAGCCCAGTGGAAAA